TTCCATGTGAAGGAGCATAGTTCAGCCTAGAGGAGGAGGGGGCATGGCAGGAGTGGAAATGACTAGTCACATTGACTGTGCAGTATGGAGTCGGAGTGCAAACAAGAAGTGGGGAATGACGAACCTCAGTGCCTTCCCCAAGTGACTCACTTCCTTCAGCAAGCCTCCCAGTGCTTACACAACCTTGAAAACCAGCGCCCCAGTTGGAGACCAACTGAGCCTATAGGAGACACTTTACATCAGACCTAATGGGAGGAGCCGAATAAATGACACTTGTCTTCAGCTCTCTCCTTCATCCCACATCCGTTCTTCATTCCCTTCTCCACCTCTCCAATTTTCCATATTCCTCCTCCTCCTCTGATGTTCCATATGGTTTCAGAATCCCAGAAGAGAATTCAAAGCCATGACAGCATCTAAAGAGGACACAAACCGCAATGGAGCTTTCTTGGCTTCCTGGAGTAGTAATTCAGTGTTTGAAACTTACTCTCCACATGCTTTGTCACTGGAGCTGTCACCCGTGACACAGATGCTGTGACTCATAATGGACAGAAGCATTGACACATGCAGAGGACAGGGCTCTGAGAGTTAAGCCACTCAATAAATCTCACAACACAATCAGCCACAGCAGTGGAGTTGGGCTCTGATCTACCGTACAGAATGTGACTGGTACTTATCTGGCTCCTCTGTGTATGGAGTTGTTATGAAGGAACATTCACCAGTCTTCATGGCACTCTTGTGAGATGTCTCACTTCTAATTTTACGGTGAGGAAAGTGAGGTTCAGGGAACTTAAGCAGCATGCTCAAGACCATACAGACAAGTAAGGAAGAGCTAAATCCTCTACCAGGAAACACAGTCAAGAGTAGCATGTCTTAAGGAGACCGGAAGCAAGACTAATGATGGCAGCAACTTGGGAAGAACATCACCTTCCAGGTCAGAGGAATAATTAAATAAACAGTGTCCCTATGCCACACTGGAGTATCTGAAGCTATTATAAATATGTAATGTGATGCCAGTGTTCACCAAATCAGTAAGAAACCATATGTTGGGGTTGGAGAGATAGCGCATCACTTAAGAGCACTTGCTGCTTTTGCAGAGGATCTCTGTTCAGTTTCCCACACAACCACCTGTAACTGTAGCCTCCGGGGCATCTGAAACCTGTGTCCTCCAGAGGCACCTGCACTCACTTTCATATAGCCCAACACAGACACATACACATATAATTAAATTAAAACTAAAATAGACATATTCGTAAAAAGGAAGTTATACGCAACCTGATCTATGAAAGCAGACATTCTGCATAAGGATGGGTCTAAAGTCAGAGAACATGCAAGTACAGTATCTCCTGGCTAAGATTCGGGATAATTATTGTCTTAACATTGTGTAAAGCATAACATTTAAGACACAAAATATTTATCACAGCAACTAAGGAAGGAAATAGACAAAATAATTACTCACTTAAATTCTTTTTTTTTTTTCAGAGTTGAAAGAATACATTTCCGAAATAATAAAAGGTGGGAAATGTTATTGAGTGTTTAAATTTTGTACTTATAAAGAGCAAGCAGAAATACTATTGAACAAAAATTTGACACTGGAAATTCAGAGTTCCGGTCTTTAAGCGGAAATTTTGCACATTATAGAGAGCCAGACAATCCTATTATTTTCTTTAATACAATACAACCAACTTTTCTGCTGCCAAGCTTTCATGTTGAAATTCTAGCACTGACTTTAACAATTAATCATACAGGTTTGTTTTTGTGTGTGTGTGTGTGTGTGTGTGTGTGTGTGTGTTTGTGTGTGTCATTCAAAATCAAGTCTATCCTTTAACAAACCATCTGCTCAGTATTCATTCAAGTAACATTTCTTAGGAACTTAGAAGCCTTCACATTACTTAGACCATGGAACAAGAGATAAGCGAGTAAGTAAATGGATGCTTTGTTATGGGAACTGCCAAGATCCCAGCAAGGACGCATGGACTGAGGACTCCAGGAATGCCAGGGGAGAGCCTAGCAGAAAGTAATAGAATGCATCCTGAAGGCAGAGCAGGATCTGGCCTGGGAGACTTAGATGGGGAGAGAAAGGCAGGAATTTTGTGTTGGGCGCTGAGCCATGCTGTGGAGAAGCCTGGAAAGAAGAAAGAACGACCAATTTGCTGTACGTTCTGATGGCTTCTGTGCTACAGGGCCTGGCTGCATCGCTCTTACTATCAGTACCAATGTCCATCACTACCTTCGAAGTGGTAGTGCTATGAATCAAATGGATACTCCAGCAGGCTGCCTCAGTTCAGCTTTCTAGTTATGCTATTTGGTGTGTAAAGCTGGAGACTTACTTCATTTACTTAACCTTTCCATAACTCATATGATCCTATGCACAGACCCCACATAGCCATCCTTTGCCACTGCATTACCTCTCATCAGGGACCAGAAGAAGTAAAAGGTTCTACTTATCTATCTATCTATCTATCTATCTATCTATCTATCTATCTATCTATCTATCTATCTATCTATCTATCTATTCATTCATTTATTTATATTAATTACATTTTTTTTCCACTTTGTATCTCTGCTGTAGCTCTCTCCCTCATTCCTTCTCATCCCACCCTCCTTCCCTCTTCTCCTCCTATGTCTGTTTCCAAGTCCACTGAAGGGGAGGTCCTCCTCCCCTTCCATCTAACCCTAGCCTATCAGGTCTCATCAGGACTGGCTGCATTGTCTTCCTCTGTGGCCTGGTAAGGCTGCTTCTCCATCACGGGGAGGTGATCAAAGAGCCAGCCACTGAGTTCATGTCAGAGACAGTCCTTGGTCCCATTACTAGGGAACCCACTTGGAGGCTGAGCTGCCATGGGCTACCTCTGAGTAGGGGTTCTAGGTTACCTCCATGCATGGTCCTTGTATGGAGTTATCAGTCTTAGAAAAGACCCCTGTTCCCAGACTTTTTGTTTCTGTTGCTCTTCTTGTGGAGCTCCTGTCCCCTCCAGGTCTTTCTATCTTTCCCTTCTTTCATAAGATTCCCTGTGCTCTGCCAAAAGTTTTGCTGTAAGTCTCAGAATCTGTTTTGATATCCTTTTGGATAGAGTCTCAGAGGTCCTCTGTGATAGACTCCTGTCCTGTTCCCTGTTTTCTCCCTCTTCTGATGTCCATTTTGTTTAAAAGTTCCTGGCTATGAAGAGAATCTTCTCTCTCAACCCAGAACCAGAACTCTGTCAGAACTTCGCCACCATTAAATAAACTTAGCCTAGCCGCCAAGGCAGACAACACCCACTGGACCGACCCTCTCACTCCTCCTGACTCCTCACTGGGAATGGTGACTATGAAGCCTGCCATGTGCTCAGATGACTTACATGTATTCCATATTCTGGGGAAAATACTATTTTCCATATAGTGGGAACCCATTGCCCCTTCGTCCAATTTCCTTGTTTTCATCTTTGCCCATTCCATTCATGACTCACCTTTCACATGAAGCCTTTTCCTGAATGATTTTTCTCCCTGAGGTATCTTTCTTTTCTTTTTTTTTTTTTTCCTGGAACCTTCCATCATGGTATTTACTATTCTACATCAGCTTTTCTTTATGAGTCCTACCCCTTAGGGATGAATTCCTTAGTGACAGAGAGCTGGCTTTTTTTTTTTTTTTTTTGTATTTTCAGTGTTTAGAAATGTGTGAAGACTACTTCCATCATTGTAGAAGAGTGACCCTGGCCAAAACCTATTTCATTTAGGCAGGTGCAAGGCTTGTCCACAGAACATAGTGGCTGCAAAACAATACCAGTAGGCCCTGAGTGCACTGGTAGGTAGCTAAGCCGTAAGCATCAGTTCTGTGCTGGGAAGGAACCCTGGCGAGTCGAATTGCTGCACAGAAAAGAGATAATGTATCAGGGGCAAAGTGGCAACCACTTTCTCAGGGTTCTGGAGTACAACGCTTGTTTTGTGAATGAAACCAGATATGCCACCAATGACTTGGCTGTTGGAATTCTATATGAAACTGGTATGCTTGCTCTAACTTCTTTAGAAAAAAATATGGAGTCACTTAGTACTATATATATATAGATAGATATAGATATTGTAAGATATTATAAGATATGTTGTCTAAAGCATTTAATATTTAAAAGTAAAAACAATTTATATCAAGTCAGAAAAATCCATTCCATGTGGTATAGAGAATTTATAAGGCCTAGAATGCCTACATTAAAGCACTGAGTTAAATTTCTCCAGAAGACTTCCTAGCCTTGGCTACATGCCCCAAGTGACACACTGATTTCCTTAGGCGGAGATGAATCCAGGATGAGCACACAGACGCAGTGAACTCAAACAATGCCCCATCAAAAAGTTTACACAACTACAGACTGAATTCTGCCAAAGCATTCATGGAGAAAGAAATTGACCCCTTTTGAGTAATTAACTGCAAGAGTCACACAACTGTAAGTGCAAACTCAACCCTACCTATGTGCAGGTAGGATGCTACGTTAATTAAACCATACCTTCTCCTCTTCTCCTGTACCTAAACACACACACACATACACACACACACACACACACACACACACACACACACACACACACGTGAACGCACACATGTGCACACACTCAAAGAAAGAGAATGGAATAGAATATACATCTATGCTATGCATACCTGATTTAATGAATTAATTATTAACACTGGGAATTGAATCCAGGGTCCCCCATATACTAGAAAAACACTTTACCATTGAGCTGTATCCCTAGGTCTGTACTATGATTTTGTTTTAATTTGAGTTAGGATCTCATTAAGTTCCCAAGGACAGCCTTGAGCTTACTCTATAATAGCCCACACAGACTTGAACTAAAAACATCCTACCTCAAAGTCCTGAGTAGTTAGGATTATGTCCTTGTTACCCAGTGTGACTCATGCTTCATTTTAACTTTTTGGTTTAGGACACATTAAAAAAAACAAACAAACAAATACACACAAAAAACTGAAGTTCTTATTCAAGTTCAATAAGCAAATAGAATCATTTAATGCGTCTTACCCTGAGGTAGTTGAGGGTGAAATTTGTTAAACCCATCCTGGTGATATTCTTGGACAGCTGATCCAGGACCTGAGGATCTTGTGCCTAAACAGTGAAGGGGGAGGAAATGACATATTTCGTTTCTGTGAGTGGTCTCAGGAAAGTGCTAGACTATGTTGTTGCTGCTGAGATGCACTTTTGACACTGTTGATTTTTCTCGGAGGGACAGATTGCTGGAAATGATGTAATTTACATTTGCATCTAGCACTCAAGGATATTTTGAGATCAATTCTGCAGGAATCAAAAAGCAAACTGCCTCAGATGTGCATTGGATCTAGAGGAAAAGAATGTTGCTTTCTCTGTGAGGAAAGCTGGCCCTGTGTCTTTAGATGGGAAACCGCTGAACGCTGCTAGAACTGTAATTTAAACCAGAGAAGGCAGTGCCTCAGTACTTGCTAATACCATGCCTGTTCCCCTGCTGTGATAGAGGTAGTGTTTTTACCAACCAGGAGCAGGATACATTTGAAAACCTTCAGCTAGCATAAAAATATATGATATAATAATATAACATGCCAAAATCCATTACATATGTACATACAGTCTCCACTTTTATATGTGGAGAAAGACAATTTTAACTTTCGTCTCCATTAAACTGTGGTTAGAAATCAATGTACTCAATACTTTTTATCCTATGGGATAGAAGGGTAGGTATCCCATTTCCCAAAGTATCATAGGATATAAAGTACCAGAGATTACCCCAAATGTTATATTTGGCCAGACTCCCAACAAAAATATATTATTTCTGCATTGTATTTGAAAGTGAGTTACTCAGATGGTCCTCTTCATTACGCTTCATGTTTGAACCCATGAGACCACCTCAGGTATAGATAAGACCTTATTCTTGTCTGTACTTTTTATTCAATGATAATTATCACTCATACTTTTACTCATAGATAAAAATATAGATGAAATTAACCATCAAGTAACAGTTACTAGTCAATTTGGAAATTGAGTCTTTATGAACATTGAACCTTTATGGGAAGATCTGGCCCTATGTAGATTCATTAAGTTATCCCATGCTAACAACAAGAAGCTCACACTGTAATTGGACAGCAACTAATGATGGAAGGATATTTTATAAAATTGCTGGTGCTACTGCTGAGAATGGATCAGCAACATCCACAGAAGGCCTACCATGATCCAAATATCATTATAAGTGTTTTGCTGTCATGAACTCTTATTTCCCAAGCCAGTTCTCCAAGGCACCCTTCAAAACCACACCTTTGTACAGATGAGGAACTAGAAGTCCAGAGACATCAAACTGGTTGTCCAAAGCCACACATAAAGAGGAATGTAATCAAATGAGCTCTCAGTATATGACCGCAGTTCTCACACACACCCTTAAGAGGCCTTTCAGTGTATTATGAGAAAAAATAATGGACACACCAGACTTCTTCCAGAAGAGTAGGAGGTAGAAATTGGCTTTGAAAGTTCTGAAGGACTTTAAGCATGGCCAATCAGAAGAAGCAGAAATTGGTGTGTTACAGCAGAAGCCCTGGGGTCACCAAAAAGGGCAGAGACAGGGTTAATATGTTGAAAGGAGAAGGTGAGAGCAAAGGTCTAGAGAAACAGCATGGAGTCAGAAGGCTGGGCAACAGGGTTTTGCACTCAGAATCCAGTGGGTTACAACCTTGGCTTTGCCACATTTGAGTTAAAAAACATTGGGCCTTCTCTTTCCCTACTTTATAAATAGGAATAGTAATAAGTCAGTCTTTGAGTGACTGCTGAAGATTAGATTTCTAGCAAAAGTCCTGGATTAGTAAATTCTGTAAATGGTATCTGTAATTATTTTATTCTCGTTAAGTTTGCAGGGCCATTTTGTGAAGCCTGATTCTGTTGCAACTTTTCATCCTCCACTCCATTCCAGTCAAGCATCTCAATTAGAAGGATCAGCAGAACCAGAGTACAGGAGCCTCATTTCCTGTCAGATGGTTCTAATCAGAACTGGAAACTGTACCCAGTTCCTGTTTTGGTTCCCATTCTCATTACAGGGAACAGGTTCATCTACCAAGGTAGAAAAGTGAGTTAGTACAACTAAAGAAAATATAAACAATTCATCAAGGGAATTCACTAAAATATAAAAAAAGTCTTACAAACTTGGAAACAAAGGATGCAAAAAAGAGTATGTGCATTCAAATGGTTGAGATGAAGACTTAATATTTAAAACCGATTGTCAAAGGTGTGGTAACATCAGGACTTTGTTCAGACAGAACTGGTTTCATTGCTAAGATGCGGTGGGAATAAGAAGACAGAAGATACAATAGAAATCATGTCACTTACGTGCATGGCCAGTATGCTTCTGGGCACCAGCTCCCTGTACTGTCTAATGGTAAAGTGCCACGTTTTTATTCTCATGAGGTCATCAAACGTGAACTCCAAGATCAGCCTGCCTTCTGTGCATACCTGGGAGGAACAAACAACACATTCATTTGCTATGCAGCTCATACAAGCAGTGGTTTGTAACTCACATCAACTACTCAATATAGTGTCCTTTGAGGTCCCTGGGCAGTGTCCCTGTGAGTTTAGATGACTGCCAAGTTGCTTCCTCACTACAAGTACCAGTCACTCTATTGCCAATAAAATTTTATGTGCTTCTCATGTTTTATCTGGAAACATGGGGTCCAAAACCCATCTTTTGGGGTCATTAGTTCAGAAGCAAGTAGGACAGTTTGGTTCTCTCACCACCTTCTTCATATTGATGATCTTCCTCCCATAGGTGCCATAGCCATACAAATATTCTTTCATTGGTTGCCCTAATTTAGGATAAAGTTTTCCATAAGATAACTCATGCTCAAGTGTGAGTTTTTACAACATTATCCAAGGGTACATCTGCGAAGCTGGGCATGGTGGTGCATGCTTTTAATCCCAGCACTTGGAAGAGAGAGGGAAGGTGGGAAGATTTCTATGAGTTCCAGGCCATCCTGATCTACAAAGGGAGTCCAGATTATCCAGGGCTATGCAGAGAAACCCTGTCTCGAAAAAATAAAAAATAAAAACCAAACAAAAAATACACCTTCATTTCCAAAGAGGAACTCCAAAGGGCAATGCTTAACTCAGTGCATGGAATCTAGAGGGTTTAGAAAATATACTAATCCAATCAACAGTGTTTAGTTATATATAACAAACAAGTTTTGTTTATATAACATAAAAGGTTGGCTAGTCTTTCATATTCCTAAAAACATACATGATAAAGAATGTCAGAATGTCAGTCTTACTTCCCTTATAATCATGACAAAGGCATTCTTTAACTTTGCATATTCGTATTCTTCTTAGCACATAGATACTATTCTCCATACCATTCTTTTCACTATCAATGACTTTGAAAGGTAAGAAAATAATACAAGGTAACACATATTGTCCTGTTTCAGCTATGAGACGTGAGTGAAGAATAAACAGCAGTTGCAACTAGTTAAGAAACCCGTCTTAGCTTAGGGAAAAAGAGTACAATAGTGCACAGGGGCTTTGAAAACAGAGGATACTAGATTTAAATTCCAACTCCACTTCTTACTCAGTTTGGAAATTTAGAAGAATCAAATATGCCTCCACACCATCCAGTTCCCTTATCAAAAAACAGAGACAATAAACATGATTAGAAAGAATTATTGAGAAAAGCACCTCAGGAAACTTCTTATGTAGAGTTCTGGCTAGTGTGCCTAGCACAAGCAGAATGGTGGGAAGATATAGCCGAGCAGATAAAACAAACAGAACCAAAGAGGATCTTGGTCACCATGACGTGCATGCTTGAGATGCAGATCCCAAGAAATATCTCTGGAGATTTGCTTAGAATTACTGGAGCTTGGGCTTCTGGATGCCATCCATTTTCTCCTTTTTTATATGCTGAGCAGAGGCTCAGACTTTCTAGGAGAAAGATTTCCTAGTCAACACAACTATGCAACCTTGTGAAGATGGATCTATAAAGCTACAGTCTAGGAAGACGGTGATTAACAGTTTATTTCAAACTTTCATGAGATATAATAATATATACCACACCATTTAGGAAGTGCTGTCACAGGCAATGGTTGGGGTTTTTCCATGTACTCTGATGGAAGGAAATAGTTTCTTTGCACAATCCAAAACTTGCGTGGAAGAATTACTATAGAGAGCTTAATTGGGTTCGGCTCAAAGAAGATGCATTTGCCATCCTCATTTTATCAAAGATCTCTGGGACATAGTGAGATAATTACTGATAATCTGGATGAAGACCTCAGCCTCAGATCCAATTAGCAGAACTTGTGAATGATTTTAGACATGTGGGCACCATGTCCTAAAACTTTGACAGGGATTGCCTCCTGAGTCCGGTTTCTGGCATCTCAGCCATGAGTGCTATGTGAGCAGAAAGAGAGATGTCATCAGTGTCCCCAGTCCATTCTTCCAAACACATCTTGAGTGCTGCAATTAATTTACCAAGGTTTTCAAACATGTATCATGAAGACTAAACCGACCAACTCCTAACCCCCACCTCAGGATATTAGTGTGATATAAGTCACCTGCGGGGGCGACTTTCACAGACGGCCATGAGTAAAGCCATATTTACACACTATAATCTCTCTTCTTTTAATAGATAGGATTACTAGATAGCTGAACAAATATATTAGTCTGGTTAAATGTCAGAGTTATTTATTTATTATACTTGTGGTCGTGGTCATCTTATAATCTGTTTGTTTTCTGTCTGTAAACCACAGAATCAGGGCGCATAAAGGTTCTTTTTTTTTCTACTAGAACCAAGTTTCAAGATGAGGAGGCATGCATGTAGTCCTTCTGACGTACTGCTTACTGCTCAAATGGAGCATCTGCAGGGACAAGGTCAGCTGTGTCTGTCGTTTACTCTGACGTAGCAAATAGTTGGGACTTCTCTTGCAGACAAACTGTCTCAAGATTACAAAATGGGAAAGTGCCACAAGTCTTGGGCTCTCTTTGTAGTCAAATGGTTTTACTTCATCCAAGGCATATACTATGTGTAAAATGGGAATCCTTAAAACTGTTTCCCAGACTATGACAACAGGTTCTTTTTTTAAAAGTAAATTAAATGACTTCCAAAAATGAAAGATGGAGGGGAATTTTGGTCATTGATTTTTTTTCCTCCAAATGATTATACATACAGCACCATCCCAAGACTCAGTGAGACACCCTCCTTCCCACTTCTATAATGGAAGATAAGTGAAACCTAAAGCTTTGTGGTTTGTTTTCTAGGCAACCATCAGAAACCATAACAGAGGTATATATAGAGGAATGTATGCCTCCTTTGTTAGGCAATATAAAAAGTGAGCATTGCTAATAAAATGGAAATAATATTTTTTCGCTTCAGAAAATATCTGTACATTCTTATTAATCAATATAGTTAATGCACCTTTTATCTCAAGTTGGCCTTGAGAAAAAAACAAAACAAAAAAAACAAAAAAAACAAATCTGCCTTTCTGTTGGAATCCAAAAATCAAAAGGGTCCCCAATTAAGAAAACATTTTCTGTTGTGCTGAATTCATGTTACCGTACTGTGAGCTCTGACATTTTGTTTCTGTGGTAACCAAAATCAGCTGATTAGTTGGCATGGCAACAGAAAAGATGTAATCCCAGCAGACACACTCTAATCAATGCCCCCAGCACAGATGGTCTCCGGAGGATCAACAAGAAAGAGGCTGGCAGGCATTCAGTGGATCACGTGCTAGCTTGAGACTAGGCCAGGGACAGGAAAAGTAAAAAAGAACATTTCTCAAACTACCCAGTAGCTTTTTAACCCTTCACTGTCTCTAACTAATGAAGTAACAGTGACCATGCTGTTATATGATTTAACAGCTCTCACGGAGCTTCTATAAGAAAACATGTACATTTTTTAAAGGTGGGAATGTTTAATTTTCTATCTTTATGCATAAACAACGGCACGAGTGGAATAGAGAATTTATATTTAAAAAAAGCTTTTTGAATTTTACCAAGAGATATCGCATATGTAAATGTATATTAGAGGGATACAATCCTTAACATGGAGAGGAGAAATTATAGACTATAATGTGATATACAGGGTAAAATAAAAATGGGGGGGAAGTAATTGTCAAAAACCCAAGTGGATAGCACTCACTTAGAGGAAATTTAATGAATGTCCAGGTTATACTTGTCTTAGTAGTAAATAATTTCACAATAAATAAAGAAGAAAAAATCCATAAAGCCATGTTTGCCGAGGTGATGAAGGCATCCAGTAGTGGCTGTAACTATAGTTTTAATTCTCAAATTCCAAGAATATACATTTAGAGTGCCTTTCTCAGAATCTTCCAAAGTTCACGGTGTTGAATATAACTCAAGGGTCTTTGACTCTGAAAGGCTCCCGGCATGCTCTTCTGATTATTATGCCTTGTTTTCTATTTGATTTGAAATTGAAAACATAAATAAAGGCTTTATTATGTGCATTTAAAAATTCTGATTACATATTTATCCTTAATCTATAATGTTCCTAGTATCAGGAAATTACAAGATACTCACTGTACCCCTGAGGGATATTTAATATCTCTGCTGATTAGGATTCTGGCTGATCTCTGATTCACTAGTTGACCAAATTTTCATAAAAGCAACTCAGAGCTATTGGGTCAAATGCTATTTGGGGAGAAACAGTTTAGTGATAGTCTAAATTAGAACAATGCAAGATGCAGCCATGTAATGTGATAAATAATGCTAGGACTTAGACCAAAAAGTCAGCACAGGTTTCACAATTCTCTTTCTTTGTGGTACCAAGAAGTCACTGGCTCATTGTTTGTTTAAAATAGCTGTAGTGTTTAATTACCCAGAGCTAACTTATTTTTAATTAACATAAGAACAAAAGGAAAATTAGAAAGAATCTTAGTATAGCAAACATCAAGGGTGGAGGGAGGGAGGGACAGAGGAAGGGAGGGACAGATAGAAAGAGAAGGAGAGAGAAGAAAAATGACTCCTTTGAATCCTATCAAATTTCCTAAAAATAAATGTGTATAATTAGCATCTGTATTAAGTCCCTATAATAAAACTACATGTCCTAGAAAGAGATATTTTTCATCAGAGTATTGAAATATTCATCACAGGAATAGGCAAATAATCTTGCCTGCCCTGGAGCAGAATGCCATGGGTGGTCCAAATAAGGAATGCTTTCAGAGCTAAGGGAGCTGTGTTCAGGTCTTTCTAGTGATTGCCTTTTTTTTTTTTCTGAAGAGAGGGAGACAGAGACAGAGACAGAGACAGAGACAGAGACAGAGACAGAGGATAAAGAACCACAGTGGAAACATTTCAGAGAAAGTAATACAGCCAGGAGAAAAAACTCAGTGTCTTAACTAGAATGAAAATAGCACTTTGAGAAGAGTGGGGTTGGGTTTGGTCAAACACAAGTCTGAAATAGTCCATGCTACACCTTCAGAACAACTGGCTGTGTCCATTTGTGAGTTTTGACCTCACCTGAGAAAGAAAGAAAATTGAGTAAATATATAAAAAGGCTGCCATAAAATTCTTTGTAAATTTTTTCAGTGGCCTCAGACATTGAACATAGTTTCTGAATGATGGAAAGGTTTTATTTAATTATCATGTTTTATTTCTCTTGAAGCATAAGAAGATGATACGTTATATTTGAATCACCTAAAATGATTTGAGCGGGGGGGGGCGCTTTTTGCACTAATGAGACTTTGTAACCATAGAAGAGAATGTTGCGTGTGTGCATCTTGTCTGCATGATTATGAAAATGCACTATATCTTCAGAATGAAATAAATAACCAGCAAATTAAACCTTCATCCCAATGGCCATCTTCTTTCATAACCAAACCTCTCTTTGAAGGCTTCCTTTCCACTTCGTTTAACTATGAGGCAGAGAAAACCCCAGCCCTTGCCACATTAAAAATGGCTATTGTCAAAATCAAGATGGCACGGAGTCAATGGCAATAGATGGCTGCCCTTTGCCCTGCATATCCATGTCTTGTTCTTTTGGTTTCATACACTGTCATGGGCACAGAGAAATATTGAACTACACTAATGTGGTCTATGATACTAACATGAAACACTGAATTATTATTCTTAAAGCAAAATTGCACAAGCATCACATCTCCATTTTTATAGTTTGAATTTTGATAATTAACTCTGATAATCCAACACCCTTCAACTTGAAGAGGTTGCCATCCGTGTTTCATTCTAAAAGGATAGCTGCTATCATTAACAGAACAAAAAGGATTCATGCTGAATTTTAGTTACTATCAAATGAGCAAGTATTCATTCAACAAACTTCTGTGAGGCTGAAGTGACAGCTTGGTGGTAGAGCATGCATTTATCATTATGCAAGGTCCTGAGTTTGATCCTCAGAACATCAAAAATAAATAAACAGTAAGCTCCATTTGCTAGATTCTGTGAGTATTTGCTTATTTTCGTTTTCCCTACGTGGAAGAGGACATACAGGGATCACGTGCTCACACTACCAAGTGGTCCCCAGCAAGGGCAGATATTCCACATGCTGGTTTTCTGTGCAGGACAGAGGTAACAGGTGCAGAATATGTAGAAAATGATGTTGTGTGTCTGTCTCTTCTGTTTTACATTTCATATCCTTCAAAGGTTGTGAACTTGAACTCAAATCCTGTGTTGTCTGGACCCCCCTCTCTTCTTTGCATATTAGCTTTAGAGCCAGCTTCTATCTCTGCTGTGCCCATCCCTGAGCTGCTTGGTTGACATACTGCAGTCCTAGAATCTCTGACACAACGAGGTCGTAATCTTTACTCTCTGGAATTCCTAGCCCCGTTTACCCCTTTTCATCTTCAGATGCCTTCTAGATAATAATTAAGGTGTAATTTATAAACTGTCTCCCTTGTTTGTTCATACCTGAAATTTCTTAACATTTTTCAAAATAAAACATGCTCACAGAACCAAAAAATCTGGGCACAGGGGTCTTTTCTGGGACTGATACTCCAACCAAGGACCATTCATGGAGATAACCTAGAACCCCTGCACAGGATGTAGCCCATGGCAGCACAGTGTCCAAGTGGGTTCCATAGTAAGGGGAACAGGGACTGTCTCTGACAGGAACTGATTGGCCTGCTCTTTGATCACCTCCTGCTGATGGGGGAGCATCCTTACCAGGCCACAGAGGCAGACAATACAGCCAGTCTCAATGAGACCTGATAGACTAGGATCAGAAGGAAGGGGAGGAAGACCTCCCCTATCAGTGGACTGAAGGAGGAACATGGTGGAGGGTACGGTTAGGAGGATAGGGAGGGAGCTACTGGGGGTTACAAAGTGAATAAATTGTAATTAATAAATATTAAAATTTAAAAAATAACCATGTACAAATACTGACTGTATAGTAGAAAAGTATTATTTCAGCACCCAAAGACTTATTTGCATTAGACACAGAACTTCATTCTAGCTGCTGAAGTGAAGAAGCCCCTGATCTCTTTTTCTCTTAGGTATATGCAGCCTGGTTCATACCTTGGTGAACATGGGCTTCCCATGTTGTGTGACCATGGCACACTGGTCGCAGTCTACTGTGATGGATGAGTTGTGGTACGACTCCTTCGAATGTTTGAGGATATAATACAGGTCGGTCACCCCTCCCTCAAACACGGTGCTAAAATAACGGGGGATGAGGGTCCTGCCGATAGCTGTGAAGGAAACACAGAGAAGCAAGTCATGAACACACATATCCAACCAATACCACAAACCCACGCAGTGGCCAGCTGGGTCCAGTCGTCTCTAGAAACCATGCCAGGAGGCCATTTCTCTTTCTAAACAGCTATGATCCATCTGGGTTGTAAGTAATAAACTATAATCCCTAACTATTTGGGAAAAATGGGACCACCATCTCGTCAAGGTTTATGTCTACTGAAATCCATAAAACAAGGATTGATAGTTGGAAAATAATGGAGGCAGTACACATACTTTGGAGCCTCACATATACTTCTGAGGGAACATATTTTATGAGAAACACCAGCCAGCCGATCTGCGTGGCTTGTCCAATGTGCTATCTGCATCTTAATTACCCAATGATGTGTTTTGTTTTAATAAGTAGAAGTATAAGTTTTAATACCATGATGCCTTTTAGTTTATGAAATACATTGGCAGTTTCTCTTTGGGTCTTCAGGAAAACAAAACAAAACAAAACAAAACAAAACAAAACAAAACAAAACAAAACAGGAAATAACTAAGACCTAAAAAGGTGAGTATGAAAAACTTTAGTATGAAGATTTCCAAGTCACAGGACTTATAAATGGTCTTCAGCCTCACAAAGGCAAACATCAATAAACTTGCCTTTTCTGTGTCTCAAACCACTCTGAAGAATGGGACCTTTGAGAAGTAAGCTCATTCTATCCAGACATCATGACCATGCAGATTTTTCTATCTGCTTTTGAGCTGGATAAAACTTATCACTGCCCTAAAGTGCCCAGTTTAAGAGAATCTGATACCCCCTGCTTGGTCTAAACTGGTCTCCTCCATTCCATTCAAGCTTGCTCTGGGTTTTCTGATACATGATGCTTCCCAACTCAAGACCAGCCCTCATTGCAGCAGTGATTTGAAATCTTGCTACAGCAGAAATCTCAACTCATAATATTAGGAATTTTGCTTATGTGCAGATGTTAAGGCAAAGTCCTAAAATCACTCCAAGCAATCCAAGGCTTTTTTTTTTTTCAAGTAAATCCCTCACAACCACTGATATAATACCCCCAAAGACAAAAGTAAAATATAGTATAAACTACTAATGAAATCTTTAGCTAGAAAAGATCACACATCATTTCCTGAAAGTTCAGAATCTTTAATTTCATTTTAAAAGCATCACTGTTAATTCATTCCATATGGATCTATAGCTCTTTTGTACACACACTTGGGAAAATAAGTATACAGAGAATCTTCTGCCCAACTGTTCTGTGATGTGATCCTTAAGAATCGACATCCAGATAAAGAGCCTTTGAATAATTTATGCAGTTGTTATTGCTTCCTGTTTGCTGCAGGTAGGGGTCAATCAACACTCTGTGATCCGTAGTCCAGGATCTTTGGTGATGCTCTCCCAAATAATCCTTACATATACATTTCCTAAATGATGCCTAATCCCAAATCTTGCATGTTCCTTTTCTGAATATAAAATTCAATGAGAGTAATTTGAGTCCAGCACATCCCCCAACAATTGCATAGCTAATATTACAAAGAAAACTTTATAGAGCTGAAGACCTTACTGTACTTCGCCAGACAGATAAAATTAATTGAATGTACTTCAAATGTTCTAAGTTAAGGCTAATTACCATAAATCAGCTCAAGTATTTTGACAATTTGGAATCTGTACTATTAAGAATAAATACACACCATAAAAATGAAGTTGAAGGGTGAAATATTTCACTATAATATCCAAGGAACTGTCACATTAAAAAGGTTATGGCAAATAATTGCCCCTGGATTCATTGCATTGTAGTTTATTCTCTATAAATCACATATAGTTTAATTGCTCTATATAACACTTTGCTATATATTAACATATTTTTATTCGCAGTCTAAGAAAAAAAATGGGAAAAATTTGCATTTCCTTAACTTTAACCCTAAATTTGTAATGACTTCCTCAATCCCCCGCAAAGCCAAGCCATATAGGAAATTTACTTAGAATGGAACACGGTCCCCTGTGCTGAACACTTTATAAGGCCTTGGGGAAGGTCTGGTGACTGACCTATGCTTTCAGGCCCCGTTCTTTTGTGAGACCGCCCTATTATGCGCCCTAGTTCTGCTTTGGACAGTTAGGCACATAGCCCCTTTATTCACGGGGGCGGGAAAGAATGCCGCCACTTGGGTGGCCCCAGTGAACCATGCCTGTTGTGCATTGTCTTCCCTTTACAGGTTACTCTGCTTCCTGTGATCTGCTCCAGTTAAAAGAACGTGGCACAGCTGCCAAGCATCGGTTTAAGTGGCACCTTAGGAAGAACTAGAGGGTTCTATGCTAATGCTTGGGAACTATGGCCAGTAGATCATCCTACAGTGAGAGGTCCAGCCAGGAAATGTAGAGAAAGTCAACTGAAGAAGACAGTCCTCTAGTCACCACACAGCAGGTGTGAGACCATCTCAGTAATAACTCAAGACGTTGTCACAGGAAACAAACGAGATTCTCCCTGAAATCTATTTCCTTGCAGAATGATAAGCGAAAAGAAATAGCTGCATTTCAGAGTCCTTTCCTGAAGCAAATGGGTAGTTTTCTCACTAAAAACTTGTAAATCATGGGCATATAGAAGCCTGCCCACAAAGAGAAAGCAAGGCCGCATTGTGTCAGGACTGATTTGAGCCCTTATCTAGGCTGGAATGAGCCCAGTGTCACCCCTGAAGGTTTATGTGTACACTCCTGGTCTTCTCCCTCCTCTTCTTCTTTCATGTCCTTTCCTTTCCCTTCTTTTTCCTCCTCCTCACCCTTTTTTTTTTCCTTCTCAAGATGGTTTATGTTAAGTTTCAATGGTTTGCAAATAGAGAAAGCTTGGTTAATTGCTTCCTGTTCCAACATGGAGATGGTAGTAAACAGGACATGGAATGAAGAGAACTGATGGAGAGAATCAACGACAAGAGCTAACAGAGTCTTGCGCACATACGGTGCAAAGCTGCAGGAGATTAAAAGGGATGTCAGGGGCTGTATTAGTTTCCCACTGCCGCTGTAACAAATCACCACAAATGCAGTGGCTTAAAACCTCGCAAACATATTATCATCTTAGAGTTCCAATGGTCAAACACAGGTCTTGCTCAGCAAATGAAACAATGTCAGCAGCTGTGGCTTCCCTTCAGGAGGCTCTGGGGAAGTTGTTTTCTTGTTTTGTTTTCCTCAGAATCTACAGGCTGCCTACATTCTTTGTTTATGGTTATTTCCTCATCCATAAACCCAGCAGCAGCAGGTGGGGGGCTTTTTCTTTTTCTTTCTTTCTTTCTTTTTTTTTCTGGCTTCAATATTTCATGTTTGGTCCCTAATCATTTCACTGGATCCCCACAAACAATTCACATTAATCTCCCCATTCCAAAGTTCTTACTAATTGGATCAGGAAGGATGCTTTGGTTATGTGAAGTAATATTCATAGGTACAGTAAATTAGGATATATATATATATATATATATATATATATATATATATATATAATTAGAGGGCTGTTATTATGCTTACCATAGAGAAGATGCTGGACAAGAACATATATTCTGTAAAGGAGACAGTGGCAATTATACACACACACGCACACGCACACACTTGAATGCATGCACACAAACACACCATACATGCAAACACACAGTGTAACATATAAATGATGTGTAGAACTAGGTGTGTTGGCTTAGGCTCATAATCCCAACACTGAGGTAAGTGAGGGCTGTGCCATAAGTTTGCAGGCAAGCTGTGCTACAGAGTGTGGCTCTCTCTTCAATAAACGAACAAAGAAATCACTAAATCATGCAGTTACTGGGACAGTTCACAGAGCCAAATCCATGTGCTTCCCCTCAGCCCACTGCCTAGCTATTCATTTCATCTGTGAGCATTCTCTGAGCTTGAAGCAGGTTCAGAGCACCATGGTGGTACTTAAAGCGTGAACACAGACCTCTACCCGAGCTTTCAGATTAATTTCTATTAGGAGAGTTAACAAATATCTAAGTGTACATAACACAGCATGATAATTCGAGCTTAAGGCTGGATTTGTGATTTTGAATTGTTCACCAATTTCTTCGGAATCCCAGTTTCGGGGTGCAATTTTACGCTGTGGAAGCACTGAGATTAGCACATTTTTTTTGACATATTAAAGCATGAAGCCACACTGCACAATCTAACAAAATACTTTGAGGATCTGGGAATATTTGAGAGATTTGGCGTTCTTCTAACGCATCAGCCACACTAGTTCTGAATCTACTTAGCTTGCATATGCTAAACTTACCCTTTATGTCTATGCTTTAGCTGCTGGAATTAAAATTATTTAAATATTGATATGCATTAATCTACATAGTATTCCCATGGAAAGGCTTTAAATATTCTTTGAGTGAGGTTAAGATTATAGCAGATAATAAAAAGCATTCTGCTTTCCCAATTCATTTGGATCAAAGTCTCTCAAGTTAGGAAGCATCAATGGAGAGAGAGAGAGTTAGGAACACAGGAAGATTTCCTGTTATGTTAGGTAATTGAAATATACTATATATTATTTATGTATATGTTCATGAGAGAGAAAAAGAAAATCACATATTAAATTATTCATGGCCTGGAATGTTTACAAAGAATGTTCAAATAATATTCTACTTTGTAGGTAAATATATTTAGTCTGGGAATAGCTAAAAATCTATTCATAGCTGTTTTAGATGTTGAGACCTGGACTCAAGTTCCTTGTAAAGCTTCCCCTTTTATTACCACTTACACCCAGCCTTCACATGGAGAAGACAAGTTCTCCATGTGAAAATTAGTAGGTGTGCGGAAGGGCTCTGTCACTGTTACTTGTACATAGCAGGATTCCCTGAGTTTACTTGGAATTATTAGCAGACACATTTAGAATCTAAATGTTATGGGCTAGGGAAATAGTCCCATTAGTAAAATGTTTGAAGGGCAACCATAAAGACATGAAAAGCCATAGCGTGCACTGGGAGGCAGAGACAGGAAGATTCCTAGAGGGCTTGATGGGCA